AGGGAGACATATTCAAGTTCTGAGAATACTTCAGAACTCTTTGAAATCGAGGCCAAGTTACACGATCTTCGCCAGGGAGACCTCATGGTCACTTAGTATTTTAATAATCTCACTCGCTATTGGCAACATCTTGATGTATTCGAAGTCCACACATGGAAGTGCCCTGATGACATAGCCCTCTACCGAAAAATTGTGGAGCAGAAATGGACGTTCAAGTTTCTTCTCGGTCTCAACAAAAATTTAGACGCAGTCAAAGGAAGAGTAATGGGGACCAAACCTTTTCCTAGCATTTGTGAGGTCTTCTCAGAAGTTCGACGTGAAGAAAGCAAGAAAAAGTTGATGATGGGATCTCATGAATCTACCCCAACACTTGAAGGATATGCCCTTGCAGCACGAGGACCGCCAACAAACAACAATATTGACAACCGGCAGAGGAGAGGAAGACCATGGTGTGACCACTGCCGCAAACTAGGACATCTCAGAGAGAATTGCTGGAAAATTCATGGCAAACCCGCTGATTGGAAGCCCTTATGACCAACAAATGACAAAGAAAATCGTGCCTATGTTGCTGCCTCCAAAGAAGATAGTCCAGCCGCAAGTGAGACAAGTCCTTTCACCAAAGAACAACTTGAAGTCCTACAAAAGTTTTTCAGCCTCAGCCAAGTACGTCGGTGTCTGGAACCAGTATGTTAGCACAAAAAGGTAACCTTCCAATGGCCTTTATAGCTAATAAAGGGCACGTGAACCCATGGATTATTGACTCTGGAGCGTCAGATCACTTGACGGGAGATGCAACTAGATTTCACCAATACAGGCCATCTAGTGAGAACCTTACCATCTGAATTACTGATGGTTCCTCATCCAAAGTTAAGGGAACAGGCTTAGTCCAAATTACTAAGGACTTGATTCTAAACTCTGTCCTCCATGTTCCTAGTTTGGACTGTAATTTACTTTCCATTAGTAAATTGACCAGTGATCTGAATTGTGTAACTAAATTCTTTCCAAACTTGTGTGAATTTCAAGAATTGAATTCAGGGAGGAAGATTGGTAGTGTTGAGATGTGTTCTGGGCTCTATCTACTCAAGAACAACACTCCTCTAAGTAGACAAGCTCAAAATGAAAGTGGTGTGTCCTTTAAGAGTTAGTCAGTTTTAAATTCTTATGTCAATAAAGATAGTGAAATTATGCTATGACACTATCGTTTTAGTCATCCAAATTTTATGTATCTAAAAAAACTGTTTCCTTCTTTGTTTATCAATAAAAGTTCAATGCCCTTTTATTGTGAAATTTGTCAACTTGCCAAACATACTCGTAGTAGCTATCCTAGTCATTCGTATAAGCCATCTCAACCATTTGCCTTGATCCATAGTGATGTCTAGGGTCCCTCAAGAGTAAAAAACATAACAGGAACTCGATGGTTCATATCATTTGTTGATGATCATACTAGATTGACCTGGATATTTCTCATGAAAGAAAAATCTGAAGTAGGCCAAATTTTTCAAAATTTCAATTCCATAATACAAACCCAATTCCAAATCAAGATTCGAGTTTTAAAAATTGACAGTGCCAAAGAATACTTCAAAACTATCCTTGGTAATTATCTCTTTTGTCAGGGCATAGTCCACTTAAGCTCTTGTATTGATACTCCCCAACAAAACGGGGTTGCAGAAAGAAAAAACAGACATCTACTTGAGGTAGCTCGATCTCTCATGTTCTCCACTAATGTTCCAAAGTATTTCTGGGGAGAAGCAGTTCTTACATCTGCATACCTGATCAATAGAATGCCCTCCCGAGTTCTCCAATTCCAAACTCCTTATCGAGTCTTTCTCCAAAACTACCCACATACAAAAATTATTTCTTCCTTAGACCAAAGGTATTCGGGTGTTCAACATTTGTTCATATCCATCAGCAAAATCGTAGCAAATTAGATCCTAAATCCATCAAGTGCATTTTCTCGGGTACTCCTCAAACCAAAAGGGGCAAAAGTGTTATTCGCCTACTGCCCGAAAGTTTTACAACTCAATGCATGTGACCTTATTTGAGCATCAACCCTACTACCCCAAATCTGAAATTCAGGGGGAGAACAAGAGGGAATATCAGCTTTGGGATGTTCCAACCAATACTGAATCCTATTCTGGTCATTCACCACATCCAATGATATTCTTCCTGAGACTATGGATCGTATACAACCTGACAGTGAATCCGAGAGTCAACAACCACCTGCAAACTCACCACAAAATTCAGTCTCTAATCCATCCTCTCATGTCCACAATCACTCCAAATCACCACAAACTGCAAGTAAAGAGCTTCGTGTCTATGTTAGAAGGAAAAGGCCCGAAAGGGAGATAGAGCACTCAACTCCTATCGCATATGTCAAGAACTTGTACTGAGTCCAAAACCTGTTCAAATTCACTCAGGTAAGGAAACTTCCACTCTTGAGATTGAGAATGAAGCAATTGCCACTAATGATTGTGATATGCCGATTGCTCTAAGAAAGGGTGTTAGAACATGCACACAACACCCCATCTACAACTTTGTCTCCTATGGAAACTTATCTCCATCCTATCAGGCATTTGTTTCGGCTCTTCATAGTGTGCAAGTACCTAATTCTATTCAGGAAGCTCTCAAGAATCCGAGTGGAGGAAGGTAGTTGGTGAAGAAGTTAGAGCCTTGGAGAAAAATGGCACATGGATAATCTCAAATCTCCCTCCTGGCAAGAAACCAGTTGGCTGTAAGTGGATTTTTACTGTCAAATATAAGGCCGACGGTAGTATTGAAAGACTAAAGGCCCGCCTGGTTGCTAAGGGCTTTACTCAGTCCTATGGAATAGGCTACCAAGAAACATTTGCTCCAGTTGCCAAACTCAATACTATCCGGGTTCTTTTTTCCCTTGCAGCAAACCGAGATTGGCCATTACACCAACTGGATGTAAAAAATGCATTCTTAAATGGTGATCTGGAAGAAGAAGTGTATATGAAAATATCACCGGGACTGGAAAATTCCCTCAACAGCAACAAAGTGTGCAAGCTTAAAAAATCTCTGTACGGACTCAAGCAATCTCCTCGTGCATGGTTTGACAGGTTTGCAAAGTCAGTAGTGAGGCATGGGTACACCCAATGTCAGGCAGATCATACACTGTTTGTGAAGTTCTCTCCAGAGAAGAAAATAACAGTACTAATTGTGTACGTTGATGATATTATTCTAACAGGTGATTATGAAGGAGAATTAATTGAAGAAGCTTTTGGCCAAGGAATTTCAAATCAAAGAGCTCAGTGAGCTCAACTATTTCCTAAGCATGGAGATGGCACGATCCAAGAAAGGAATATTCGTCTCTCAACGAAAGTATGTTCTGGACTTACTAAAGGAGATAGGCATGCTGGGATGTAAGCCTGCAGACACTCCAATGGATTCAACGAAAAAGATAGGGACTGAGGAAAATAGTGCTCCAGTAGACAGGGGGAGATATCAGAGACTAGTAGGACGACTAATCTACCTCTCACACACACGACCTGATATTGGTTTCTCTATTAGTGTTGTAAGTCAGTATATGAACAATCCAACAGAAGAACATATGGCAGCTGTGAACCGGATTTTAAGGTATCTTAAGATGACACTAGGAAAAGGCCTGTTATACAAGAAGAATGACCGTAGAGATATTGAAGTCTTCTCAGATGCAGATTGGGCAGGAGATATCTTAGACAGGCGATCTATATCTGGGTATTGTTCCTATGTTTGGGGAAATCTTGTGACTTGGAGGAGCAAGAAACAATCTGTAGTTTCAAGAACCAGTGCAGAAGCTGAATTCAGAGCACTAGCTCTAGGTATCTGTGAAGGAATGTGGATACAAAGACTACTTGGTGAGCTAGGAGTACCAAGTGAGAAGTCCATTAAGATGTTCTATCACAACCAAGCAGCCATAAGCATTGTAAAGAATCCCGTGCATCATGACAGGACAAAGCACATAGATATTGACAGGCATTTCATCTCAGAGAAGATTGAGAAAGCAATTATACAACTGATCTACACTCCTACCAGGTTCCAAACAGCTGACATACTCTCTAAAGCTCTTCCACGAACTAACTTTGAAGAACTGAATCGCAAGCTGTGTATGGATGATATCTACAACCCAACTTGAGAGGGAGTGTTGAAATCTTGCCTTAGTTAGTTCGGATTTCCAGGGCTGCATTATTCTATATTAGGATAGCTGAGTATTTTGTACTAAGTTACCTAATTTCCGTTTATTCTCTTTCCTTATTTAGGCTAGATTGTTTCCCTTATTCTGTTTGATTTTTATTCTATTAACACGGTTGCAGACTGCAACCATTCCCCTATATATATAGCTGTAATTTTTCATTCAAGTAATAAGAGAAAATTAGAGAGCCTACCTTTTCTCTTAGTAATTTTCAGAGGAGAACGTGAGAGAGTGAGGGAGAGAGAGAGAGATAGAAGAGAGTGGGGAAGAATAAGAAAGGCAAAGAAAGAAAAGGAAAGGAAAGATAATAAGCTTCGGCCTTTTTTTTGGGGCCTCCAACAAAGTTACCAAATAATTGACTTGTCAACTCCATCAAGTAATGTACTTGGTAAAAATAAAAGTAATAAAAATCCCTTTTCTAGAAATCAACTTCAAAATAATTTTATTATTTATAGATTAAATAAAATAAATTATCTCTTAGTATTTCTAATACTAATCAAACGAAATAGTATTCACTAAAATCCACGAGGGGCTTATTTGCAACACTATCTAATAGTTGGGACCAGAGTATAATAATTCAAAGGTTGAGTGATCAAACTACTATTTCTGAAAGTAAATTCCAAATTGCGAAAAATTTATAATGAAATAATTATAACTGAAATTAAAACACTAATTTTTAAATTAATTAATACTAACAACCGAATTAAACTAATTAATCTCAATTAATTTATTACAAAAACTAACTTGATCTAACATGTCCTAAGTAGTATATAAAAATGTAAATGATCAAATCTTAACCTCACCCCGGTTGACAATCACTGTACAGATCCTTCAAGCTTAAGAGCATGAATGCTTTTTAAAATCTTCCGTGTCACATGATCAGGCACTAGCCCTTTCTGGATCATGTCCTTGAGAAGCTTGAGAGCGACATCAACTCTTTTGACCTTTAAGTAACCGTGAACCAAGGTGTTATAGGATATGGTGTTAGGAAGAGCACCCTTTACTGCCATCTGATCGAACACGTCTTTGGCTTTGTCCATTTCACCTTGCAAACAGTAGCCCTTAATCAAGGTGTTGTAAGTGATTGTATTAAGTTCGTTGTCATGTTCAATCATTACCTCAAATAATTTTTCAGCTTTCTCCATCATGCCTTCATTAATCAGAGCATTCAAAATTATGTTCAGAGTTCTAATATTAGGAAAAGTTTTCCGACTTGGAATGCCATCAAACAATTTCTTAGCTTCTTCCAATTTATCAAAACGGCACAATCCAATAAGTAAAGAGTTGCAGGTAATCACATCAGGCAATACACCTTTATCAGTTATTTCTTCTACAAGATGAAGCACCTCTGCAATGCTTCCTTCCTTGCAGCGAGCATCCAACAGAGCGTTCAATGTGACAAATCAGGAGAGATTCCGTAACCCGCCATGCTTTCTAAGAATCGTGTCACTTCTTTCCATTGACCACACTTGCACAAATTAGAAATCAAAGAAGTGAATGTCACAACATTAGGCTCTACACCTTTACTAGTCATCAACTCGAACAATCTAACTGCTTCTTGAGCTTTTTCTTCCTTGAAAAGAGAGTCAATTAATAAGGTATAGATAAACGCATCAGGTGAGATTCGGCAATCAATCATCTTGATTAAAAATCTCTCGACTTCTTTCCAATGACCCAATTTGCTTAATCCGTGAATTAAACAAGTATAACAAACAACATTTGGCCAAACACCATGGTTGATCATATCTTCAAACATGCCGAGGGCCTCATCCACTCGCCTTTCTTTACAAAGGCTGTCAATGATTGGTATGAAACAGTCTACAACGGGTCTAATCCTCCGATCTTCTTGCATTTGCTTAAGTAGCTCAAGCGCCTTCGAAGTTTCTCCAGCCTTACAAAACCCATTAATGACGGTAGTGTAAGTAAATTCATTACGCAAGTTTTCCTCCTCAACTATTTCACCAAAAAACAACATCGCTGCGACCATTGAGCCCTCGTGGCAAAGCCCGTGGAGCAGAGCATTCATTGTATGAGCATTGTACTGAAGACCACTTTTAAGCATAGTTGCTAAAACAGAGAAACCAAGTTTAACCTTCTTCATGCGACACAGACATTTGATGACAATATTCAACGTGCCGACTTCAGGACTAAAATAATCACAACCCATTATCTCTCTATACATAGAGACAACAATGGAATAATGTTTCATGTTGGAGAGTGAGCCAAGCAATTGATTGAAAGTCCAAATAGAGGGCATGGGTCGCATTTGAACCATGGAATCGAAGTAACCCAAAGCTTCTTCTATTGTTAGGTTTCTGGATTTACATTTTGTTTGGATCAATTTCTCCAAATGGGCAACAGAATTTTCACCGATAATATTCATAGAAGCGCAAGAACAGAATTGGGTTGTTAAAATTCTGAGGAGAGAAAGGAAAGAAGGATTACCAGGAGGTGTTGTGGTCAGCAATCGGATTCTCATCTTCGATTTCTTCTGGGATTTCAGAAGCCAGAGTTCTGATGAAAGTTTCTGCTGATGTTTTGAGATTGGGGAAGTTGGGTGAGGGCAATATCCTAGAATGACTTTGTTGAAATTAATAAAATGACATTTTTTTATTTTTTATAAAAAAATATATTTACTCATTTTTTATAAAATGAGGTCATTTTGTAAATAAAAATTTTTAAAAAATTATTTTATTAATAAAACTTTTCAAAAGAGTTATTTTTACAAAAGCCTCGTTGGGAGATTGGTAAAATTGTCGGCACGAATTGGAGAAGCGGAGTCAGAGGCGACATGGAATGGAATGGAATTGATTGGCTGCATTTTAGGGCAATATGCTAGAATGACTATTCAACAAAGTGAAATTAGTAAAATGACATTCTTCATTTTTTATGAAGAATGACCACTTTATCATTTTTTGTAAAAAGTGGTCATTTTACAAATAAAAATTTTTAAAAAGTTATTTTACTAATAAAACTTTTCTATTGAGTTATTTTTACAAAGTCCTCTTGCATTTTAGTTGTTTTCAAAAACGTTGTTCTGTATTTGAAATTGTTCATGTTTTTATTTTTTTTTATCTTTTTTTATAAAAAAAAATAAAAACAATTTTAAAATGTCGTTTAGCACAATTAAAAATAAAAAATAAAAATAAAAATAATTTTTTTAATTTATTGTAAAATGAGAGATAATAAAAAATGACTTTTCAGCCGTGTTTGGAATTGATCTTGTTTTTGTTTTTCATGTTTTTTGAGAAAGAAAAAATGAAAACGTTTCCAAAACGGCGTTTGCCCTAATAAAGACAAAAAACGGAAATGAAATGAATTTTTGGTTTAGTGTAAAATGAGAGAGAAATGAAAAATGACTTTTAGTTATTTTCCAAAATAATTGTTGTGTGAGATTGAAAATGTTTTCATTTCTATTTTCATACAAAAAATAAAATCATTTTAGAACGAGTTCCGAACGAGCCCTTCGTTTTTCATTTTTTATTTTTGTTTTCCCCTCTCTCGAGTAAAGAGAGACATTAATGAGTTTTTTTACACTGAAAATAATCTCATAATAAAACTACCAAATGCATTTTTAAAAATGATTTATATCTGAGATTGAAAACGTTTTTATTTCCCTTTTCATACAAAAAATAAAATCATTTTAGAATGAATTCCAAACGCACTCAAAATCATTTTAGAACTAGTTCCAAACGTACATTTTGTGTTTTAGTTGTTTTCAAAAATGTTTTCGCACATCTTTTAAGGTATAAAAATGAAAACGATTTACAAATCACATTTATTTAGGGTCCGTTTGGTATAAGGATTGAAATCAATGTGATTTGAGTCTTTTTGATTTGAATCATGATTCAGAGTGATTAGAACCTTCATTTGGATGTGTATATGCATGATTCCGATTCTAACCTGAAATGTGATTCGAACCAGTGTTTGGTTGTTTTGTTTTCTGAATTTGAATCATGACCAAAATAATGTTATATAACAAATATAATTCGTTACGTGTAATTTAAAAAAAATTATAATTCGTCATATAATTAAAAAATGAAGTACTAAAAAAAAATTATGCAACTAATTATAACTCATAATTATAACAAGCTAAGTGAGAAATAAATGAAAAAAATGTGAATAAAATTATATAATAAGCCAAGCATATATCAAACTTGTCTCCAACGGCTTCCATTGTATAACAAGCCAATTACTAGAAAAAAATGATTTGTTTGTATGCCATACAATCAAGACGCAACACGAATCACTCGATCGAAAGATTTCAACTGAATCTGATCATGATTGGAAAAATATTTCAACCCTATTGAACATTCGGTGCCAACTAGTACATTAATTGATATTTGCTGTTATCCACTCCAAATTATTCAAAACTAAACAGCAAGAGGGGAAAAAGGGAAAAGAAAAAGGAAATGAAATTGTGTGCAAATTAGCACTACAAATGGACAAGTTACATCAAGATCCAGTAAAAAGCCATAAACTAGTCAACACAGGTTGGTGGCAACAACAAACAATACCACATTGCTCAGTACCCTGTCATATGTCAAACGACAGTGGTTCTCTGATTACCAATGCAGCACCTTCTTTTATCTATTTGTGTTTCCCCTATATGCACATTTCTGGGTCTACTAGTTGAGATATTTTGTAGTAGTACATTTTGAAAATGCTACAAGTAAATCAATCTTGCCATGGCGAAGGCATTCTGAAACAGATGCTACATTCTTCTCCTGGCTACTGCCGAAGGATGATCCGGCTTCGGTATTTGTGACTTCGTTGGGTTTACGATTTTGTAAAAGTTGAAGATGATGTTGCAGGATCTGTAGAATCACAATATGAAAAATAAAGTCGAGTCAAGAACAACAACAATGTGAATATAAAAGATGGACGCCAAAGGGATATAACTAGGAAAATCCGGATTCTCTACGTTATGTACTTTACCTTTTGCTGGAAATGGGATATTATGTTCTGGTTTCAAAAAAAATTTCATAGTAATGAAGTGGTATATATACTCCCACTATGTAAGATTTCTATTGAGTACGTCCCTTACTTTACTTTGACAGGGAGCAATATTAACTTTGCTCTCTTTGGCATCAAAACGTGACCTTTTTGAAACAAAAATTGAATCCAGATGCAATCCAAGTTGACACTGACGGACAGTAGAACCATCACTCTTTTTTTTCGTTTGGTTTGACCGGGAACAGAACAGAAGAACTAGGGGAATCCAATATATAGCAAAGCATTAGTACTTCCAATGCTTTACTTCGCCAAGGAGCTATACCAACTTTACCATTTTTTCGTTTGGCATCAACAAGTGTCCTCATTGAAAAATATGTTCAAAAAGGAGTATCCAGATGCAATCAAGTTTACACATAGCATCCCAATCCGTGAGAGTAGAACAATCAGATAAGCACTAAGGGATACCATTAGCCACAATCAGGTCACTATCTGGCCAAGCATTTTATTGCACAGTATTCACCATTTCCATCTCAAACTTAGACAAAGAGGACCATATTACAAACAATGTTACAGCATCAGTTTGCCGTAACATATTGAAGCATAAATTATCAAACTTCACATACTCAAGCACAAAAAAACCATGTTTAATGAAGCACAAAAAAAACTAATGATTTAGATCTTAAAAGGAATAAACGTATGCAGGAGAAAAGTCCAAGATTTTACTTATCCTACTATCAATGAACACTTCATAGTGTCAACTAAAATCGAATTTGCACTTTACAAGCTTCCCTTCAGCCTACTATCAATGAACACTTCATAGTTTAAAAAGCAACATTCCCAATAGGAATGGTGTTTCCTGCCTCTTGGGTAGCTAAACTTAATAGGGGACCCAAAAAAATGTATGGCAAAAATCAAACCATGAACAATTTCTGCTACATCATGACCGTTTATTATAGCAGACGGCTGCCAAAGTAACTTTGAGAGCCACCATTCCATGAACTATCCCGGACATTCCAAGACCTTTGCTATCCAGAAACCTCCTTGGAATTATGTCCACAGACATTTTAACACTGTTTTTTTTTGGGCTTGCAGATGCAGATCAGCTCTATTGATAGAGGTATTATGCACTGCTCGTAAGTTAAATAGGGTTGTTGTATTTATCTACCACGCATGAGTTCATGGCAAAGATTATTTGATACTTTGGTACACCATGAAATCTGTATGTATTATACCCTTCACAGTTGAATGTGAAGATATTTGTTACGGCATTTGTTTAGAGTTTTCATATTAACAAATAAAACCAATAATCAGAAAATGATGCATCTGTAATTGTATATAACTAGAAGTAGGTCCCTCAAATAGGAAATATAACACAATTAAGGTAGGAAAAGAACATACTAATCATCAACTCCACTGCAGTATCTTTAAGACTGTCTTCTAGTTGATTAGGACGCCAAATATGCAGCTTGTTCTCGGCAATATTTAAACTCATTTCTGAAAATAGCCTTGCAAAGTAGTATTTCCTGGAGAGCACAAATTACAACCCCACATCATCGAGAACATCCACATCATGCATTCCCCAAAACCAAAGTCCAACTATACTCAAACAAAGCAAGAACGTAACAAAACTCACTAGCCAAAAGTTAATTACCTTAACTAATTCCCAAGAAGAGTTGCTGGTTGGACTAGAATCAAGAACTGTTTTATATGCGGTTTTTTACATTGCAGTTGCAGCTAACACGCCAACCGGTTCACCAGCAGGGTATAAATTCCAAACACTTCCTCTGCCATATTCAAATTTCTCTTCATTGAAATACACAAGTGTGCAAACTTCTCTATGCAAACAAAGCATATTAAAGGTAGAAACAAAAACATAATGCAGAAAACGTGGAAGTAAAGAAACTACCCCATTAAGCTTCAGCTTCAATCCGCGTATCAAACGTGTCTCCCACGGCTTCCTTGATATTCCACCCACATTTCATTCGCAAGGTGATCCCTAAAACGACCCATCTCTGTACGACTAACATTACCTCCTGTTACAACTGACCCTTCAGGGACATTACTATCAGTGTCATCGTCATCAAATTCATCATCATTGTTCGGATCTATTTCGCTTACCGGTACACCATCACAGTAGTATTGATTTAGAAGGGGGTCCCCCTCATTAAACATGTGAATGAAATTGTGCAATATTGCACAAGCAACATGAATCTTCTCTTATTTATCTATTGGATACGTATTATTGGGGCGCCTTAGGATAGGGAACCTAGCCTTCCAAACCCCGAACGTTCACTCTATACAATTACGTAGCAACGAGTATTTGTAGTTAAAAATATCTCTACCTCCCTGAAATGCACCACTTCTCCTTCTATAGTTAGGCAAATGGTAAGTCTCACCTCTGTAGGGAGCGAGAAAACAATCAGAGTTCGCGTACACCGCATCAACAAGATAGTATTTTCCTGCACAAGTTATATAAATTAGGATGCAATTTATGCCCCATACTATTAATACCTATAACTACAG